GGGTTTTTTTTTTTTTTTTTTTTTTTCTCTCTTTTTGAGGGTAAAAACAGTGCTGGATCGAATTTTGCTCATTTAAATTTTTTTATTTGAACATGTGTTGTTTAAATAGTAGATTGAATTGACGTTTAAATATACTGTTAAAATTTTAATCTGAATAAAGAATAAAATTTAAATTTGTGTTTAGTAAGTGGGAAATGCACGAAGAGTGAGCATCTTTTTACTGTTAAAAAATGATATGAGCACTTGAATTTAAAAGAGCTAAACTTTTATTAGAGAGTTTAACTCAATTTAATCTAGAAATATAATTTATACTGCGTCCTTATCAAATATGAGTTCAATGGCTTTTTTTGCATGAATACCCCTCAACTTCATGAGTTTGGCAAATTGGTCCCTTAATTTTTTTCTTAGTAATTCCCCCTTAAACTTTAAAATTTATTACATTGTTGGTCAAATTAAAAACGAAGTTAAAAATTAGACGGTATCTTCTACGTCAGTGTTTAATAAGGATAATCCGGGCCTTTTTGCATCGAATTGAACACTTTATACACATCATGAATGAAAAATTTTTTTGAAATTAGGGGACCCCCAATTTTTCTCTTAAAACGGGTAACTGTCAATTTCAAAAAAAATTCTGCTTTTATGCATATATGAGGATCAATTCAATGCAAAAAGATATTAATTACCCTTATAAAATACTCACGTTGAAGATATCGTCTAAATTTTTAAATTCGTTTTCAATTTGACCAACATTGCAACACATTTTAAAGTTTAAGGGGTGAATTGTCAAGAAAAAAATTGAAACATGCGAGAGTTTTTAGCCTCGTTCATTTCACCGATTTAAATTTTTAATTCTAATTTTACTATAGTTAAAAATTTTCAAATAAAATCATATCTCATATTAAATTAAAAATTTAAATCAACGAACTCAACAATACCTTTAATTTTATGGTCCGCCATCCCTTATAATATTTTTGATTATTAAAAAATTTTATTGGGCCCTCTAGTGGTGGGACCTAACAAAGAGCCATCTACTAATCATTAATAAGACTCTTCCAAAATGGACCCATTCCTTCCTTCCCTACGTGGTTGTCCCATCCATGACCATGAAACTTTCTCACGGTTATCGTTAGGGGTTCAAGTTACCTAACCATGAAGATGATGTGGTTTTGTGTACATTTCATCTTTAGATGAATTTTATAAATTTCCTATTTTTTTCTCTATTTTGCCCGAAAATTTGAAAAAGAAAAATGAAATTTGCTCTCCCTCAATTATAAAACATTAGTAAATTAGCCATACATACCAAGTGGTATCAGTGGTGTTAAGCACCTCACATTAATAAAAATGAGAAATTTAAGTAACATTTCAAGACTCATACATATATTTTAGATTTATTTCACAACTTCTTTAATGTTTGAATTTATGCCATGTTTTTATATTGATCTTCAACTAGTTCATTTGTATGGCACAAACCAAAAGTTTTAATATTAGTGGCATGAATGACAAATTGAGGATTTATTTATTTATTTGTTTATATAGTTATGTTTCCCGTTAATTATGTTACATTATAAGAAAGCTTTAAACAATGATTCATGCTTGTCCATTTGATTTAACAAATTCGAACAAGTTAATCCTCTACGATAATATTCATCATTTGAGCACATTAAAAAAAAAAAAAAAAATCTACCCCTTTACCACCTGTTTCGTTTCGTACGGTCTTCAAAATTCTGTTGCTATTTTGATATATAATGAGAGAAATTGAGGGCACCTGTTTCGTTGTTCGGTTGTAGAATGTTTTAAAACCTAGATGTTTAACCTTAATTACCCGACTAAATATAAATCTTACAAAAAAAAATAAAAATTTAGTACGGAAAATTTTTCATCATTTCATGCCATGTAACAACCGATTTCCTATTGTACTTGCACAAACAAAAAATATCATGTACTTGGTACCAACTAAAAAAAAAAAAAAAAATCAAAGGGGCTTGTGGCAACGCATTATCGTAGCCCTAGTAATGAATCAATGGTGGGGTTAAGATCAAAAGGGATTGGATTTGGTAGGTTGTTGGTCCTTAAAGGACGTTTTTAATGTCTCTACAAATTAAAATCTAAGTGATACATACGACATTGGAGGGGTTCTCAAATACACAGCACCACACTAAAAATATCAATGGAAGATAGGCAGCATCAGAGTTTGGAGAAAAGAAGAGATTTTTTGAGTTTCTCTCTCTCTCTTGAATGCATAATTGAATGTAGGGGCAGTAGGGACAAAATGAAGGCCGAAGAGCCTCAGGCAAGGGAGGGCCTCTTGTCAATTCTCTCTTTCACACCAGTGAGTGAGAAAGAAAGTAGTAAACCAATCAATCAAGAGTGAGGACTAAGGCAGTAAAAAAGATCGAGTCAGTTTGTCGACAATTGAGTACCAAATCATACCAAATCATGAGATGAGATTCTTAGGATGAGAAGATGAGATTATTAGGATGAGTAGATGGGATGATAGCAACGAGACGACCCAAGAGTGGTCCCTAAACACAACTGGCTTTGTGATGCCATGTGGTGGCCTCTCATCTTATCAAGAACTAGGTACCTGTGAAAAAAGATTAGATACCCTTCTTTATGGGGCGAAAAAAAGAACCTCTTGAGGTCTTTTCTATAATGGCACTTCCCATTAAGTCCCCAAATTTTGTTATGTTCTAGTTTAGCTTTTAGGTGTCTTTGCATCTTTAAAGATTAAACTTGGAGGAACCCCAAATCCAACCAATGAGAAAGGGAGGGAAAACGAAAAGAAAAGTCTCATTTTTTTGTTTCACTTCATATCTTTGCAAACTTTCGTTTGCCATTTTTTCAAACCAGGCTGAAGTTCTGAACTGAGAAACCTTATTTAACATTGCGAACAAGGAAGTTTATGACTGCTCAATTTTCGGTAAGTCTTACAAGGACTCGGCATTTCAGTAAGGCTTTTCACAGTGGTGAAGGTTAAAATACAAAGCCGTCCAAACACTGTCACAAACCCCACAAAAAGAAAACGCACGATTTTGAAACGACTGAAAGTCAAGTTTCATTTCAGGCCAAACAGGAAAAACCCCCAGGCATTCCAAGCTGATGACATCAGATAACATAGAATGCTTCTAAGAATATACTATTTTTTCTCCTAAACGACTAAAATTTTACTCATTCAAGTATATACGAATCTAGGAGTGCCCTATGCCAGAGAGATACACAATAAAGTAGATAATGGTTGGCTCGGCTGAGGCTTTTTATGATTCAATGAACATGAAAGCCATCAAAACTCTCTCTCTAACTTTTGGCTATATTTACGAGCCCTGTTTGTTATCTCGTGAAATTCGGCAAAGCAGCGGCTGAAAAAGGTTAGGGAAATAGCCTGAAATTATTTTCATTTTTTGCCCAATTTGTGAAACTGTCGGCAAGTGAGAACAAACAACTCCAATAATTGAACCTAACCGTGACAAAGTTAGATTCGTAATAAAACGCGTGCATATCATATACTATATACTATAGACTATATATATATTTATTTATTTATTTATTTATAAGCTCTACAAGCCCAACAAAAGCAAAACACAAGCATTGCCAGCTAAGTTCCCATACCTGACCGCTAATAAAGAAACCATAAAAGATACTAAAGTTAAAAAACCCACCATATGATCATTGTGATTGTTTTTTACCTCCTTTTGTGGATTACCCGACAACATCTGTGCTTTGCCCAGGATAATGTTCATTAGAGATAGAAACTATATGATTGGTCATGATTGGAACATTCTTTAATAATGATTAATTAACAAAGCAGGCTAAACAAATAAAGCTAAATGCATAAATAGAGAAAAAAAGGGGGCAACTGGTGAATAATTAGGGGGGGATGGATGAGCTGGGTCATTCTAACGAACCAACCCGAAAATTTTCTAATACCAAACTACACATAATTGTACATGACAAAAGAAGTTTCCAACAATATAGTAATATTCTCTATGTTATCGAAATTTTGTTTACCTACAAAATCACAGGCTACCGGAAGCATCAGGTACCTTGGGGAAACGTCTTTTTCGCGGCTCTTTATGCCAACCCAATAGGTGTATGATATGAAAAAGAATCCGATAAAAAATCTTTTTAGGATTTAATTTGAGACAACTTTATAAGTAGATGCACACTCCAGACATCTTTTTTTTTTTTTTTTCATCTGTAAAAGTGTAAAAGGGGAGGGGAGAATAACTACTACTATAAGGAACTATAAGAAACTTCCTCGGGTCTTGCATAAAGAAAAGTTACGAGTCACTCTGCAAGGGGGAAAAAAGAAAGTTGAACACAATTCAGTAAAAGGCAAAACTAAAGATCTAATACAAAGTAAAAGACAAAAAATAAATAAAATAATGGGTTTCAGTTCCAGCAAGAAACACGTGGAATTGATCCTATAGGTCGAAGTGTTAAGACATAACTAACAGATTAAAGAAAACGTAGCATTGGAGGGTGTACCTAAGCGAGATTGGACACCCAGCACTTTTGGGCCATGCTTTGATAGGTTTAAAGAATGCCGTGTTTACTGATGAACAATGTGAATTTAATACAACAAAATGCAGCATTATGCGTACAAATGGCAAAGGGTTAGTTGAATTAATCATTCGGAAGGCCCAACTTACATGAACCGAGTTCAAATGTCAAAACCAACTGACATATAGGACCAAATCCTACCAACCTCAATTTAAATTTGTACATAAAAAAGAAAAAAATAAACAGGCTTTGAAAATTTTGTTCATCATATAGGTGATGCATGTAAGTGCTACTTGCTGAAGCAGGAGGAAGAATAATTGCAGCTACTGAATCTTAACAGCCATTTTGATTGGTCTAATCTTTTGAAACACATCTAATCCCTATTTTGTAAGGGTTAACACTTCCGTGAATTTTTTTATTTCTATTAAAAACTTGAAAGGATTATTTAGCCCGGTACCTGACATTTAATGCTGTAAGTAGTGAGAAGGTTTGGATAAAGTGGCAAGTAAGCAAATTAAATAAAGATAAAACTAAAAAAATTCGAAAGAACATGATGTAAATCCACCAAAATGAACCAGGAAGCCCCAGTGAACAACTAACTAAAATACTTGAAACAGAACTAATAAACTAAGTAATTAGCCAGGGAAGACATTTATCTTACCTGAAGATTGGTGTATAACAGTTGGAATTAGCTTGGCTCAGTATACTGGTGATGTAAGCTACACAGATCTGAACCATAAAAGAAAAAAAGGGGGGAAAAAAGGACATGAAAGGAAAAAAAAAAAAAAAAAAAAAAAAAAAAAAACAACAATAAAGAAAATCAGACAGATCAATAGTGATGGACTTCTACGCCAATTGAATACTCAGTAGGCGTGAATGCAAATATGAAGTTGAACATGACATGAGATTTGAACAAGTTCCAATATTGACAGTCACACAATCAATGGCAACATTGAAACAATCAAGTTAGCTGGATTTAAACAAGTATTACACGATCAAAATCAAACATATGTTTAAAAAAGACCATAAAGGTTATTGGTCCCCATCTGTGAAGCGTCACATATTTATCATTATCAATTTTTTCACGTTTTACATGGGAATACTATATGGGACCAGAAGCTGAAGAACTATGCAAGGGATTTTCACACCAGTCACCAGGAAAAACCGTATATAGTGGAAATACAAATAAATCAAGTATAAATAACATGAAAACTTCGGTGTATTGGATAATATCTGAACCCCTAAAAAAAATAGATCAACTAAGACTGGGTAGAGAAGGACACTTGTTTAAGGCCAATAAATGAAAAATCAACGAAACTTGACCCAACAAAAATAATTTTAGTTTCCTACTAAACTAACCTGAAGGAAAGAGTAGTAGACGGTATGACAGACACGGGCAAAGGCAAAAATCAAAACCATGCTGATTGTCATGGTTTTAGAAGAATTTAACTAAGAAAATATCTTTATTGAACCCAATGATTGTTGATGAACTAAAACAAAGGTGAAGAAAAATTACAATAGCAGGACAAAAAAAAGGAACGAAAACATAACCACCCCAACAAGAACAACAAAATCAATTGTGCAGGAAAAAACAAAAAGCAAAGCAATATTAAATGTCATAAAAAACCATTTAATAAGTAGAAATATTCATACTTTCTGAAAAAGTCTTGCCTTTAGAGTAATGAAGTCCTCTCATTATTTGTACCAAATGCCTCTTCATCCTCATTAGTGTTTACAATAACAACACCATTCGTGGAATTAGCATCCTCTTCGACCACAGCCCCTTGACCTTGATTTTCCTGATTCTCCACTGTCTCCTCTTCAATAACAGCTTCCTGTCCTTGATTTTCCCCATTCTCCTTCGTCTCCTGGATTGAAATCAAATGCAAGCAGAAACCCTTGAAAAAATTTATTTTGGGAGAAAGATCCAATAATCAGAATATGAATTACAATAAAGGACTAAATAGTTACTGACACATGATGATAACCAAAATTTTTGCTTCTTGGGCAGATTGTTATCCTAATGCACATCTAACTCAGATAACAAAACCGACAGTCGTAAGGTCAACACGAGTTTTCATAAATATATTCACAACGATTACATCTGCTGAACCATTGAAGAGAATCTGAGCAGTGGGTTGTGGCACACAGGAACTTTCGGCTAATAGAGAAAGAAAACTTCTTTTCTATTTCCTAGTGAAGTTCATTTACGTAATATTTTCATTGTACCTGTGGTCCGTTGGTTATGGAAAATGGCCCCTATTACTTTCTCTGTATAACTTCTGAACTTGTAACTTCCTAACCACCATAAAACTGTTAAATCATTATTATTTTATTTTTTGGAAGGTTAAATGGATTACATATAGATCAGAGCATTTCTGAAATTTGTCCATCAACTACATGAGCCCCTTAGAAGGACATGCTTTGAGCTGCTAGCAACATCAGAAAGATATTTATACTTCAGTTCTCAATGCAAACTGTACCAACAGTAATATCCCTATTATCAGTTAAATATTATAGCGGGAATAGAACCACCCATTGTAGAAGTTTCCATTTTCTACCTCATGCTCATGCTCATGATCGCCTTCTCCATTTTCTGTCAGGTCTTCATTCCCATCAATTTGCATGCTTTTGAACCTGTCAAGAAGGTTGGTAGTTGATTTCTCGGCATAGACTGGATAGAGTTCAGCAGGAGGATAGTTTCCCCTGCAGAGTGCATCCCAGAAATCTACATTAGGAACTGACAAATTAACAGTAGACATTTCATTGTCATTCTATAGTATTCATTGCATAAAAGGTTTATTTACACAAGTTGTGAATGGAAAATTTAGGGAAACTGCAAAATCTAAACATGCACTAAGAGAATGAATAAAAGAGGATTTTATCCCAAAGAACAAAAAGCACTAGACAAATAAGTGGTAAAATTAAGAGACAACTGATTGAGTAAACAAACGAAAGTGTAATTCACCTGTTTTTTGCAGCTTCAGATTCAAGGGAAACATAAACTTGCCAGTCCTCGAACAAATTAGGGTACTCTTCAGGATCGGCTAATGAATCCGCCGCTTTCTTACTAACCTGCACTTATTATTACACATGTACTTAAACAAGAATTCCAATACTCAATAGAACTCAGATATCTCCTTATTTCAATGGGTGGGATTGAAAAATAATTGGCACCACTTTCAATGCCATGTCCCAATCAGAAACATTACTTAAAAATCTCATTTTCCAATAAGTGAAAAGGGTTGTACTTTGCAGAAATCTAACCTTGCTCAGATCATTTCTCCAAATTGCAACTATCTCTGACACCTTGCTTGGAAGGTAAGATCGTGCCATTAAAGCTGCTTCAGGTATACGGTTACTGCAAGAAAATCATCAAAACTTGGTATTTTCCCCTTCTATCATGCCACCATAAAAGAATCTAGAATCCCCTTAACTTTTTTTTAGATGGTTTTACTATGGTGAGCAGTCACCAGGGATACCAATTCCTTAATGAACAATGAAGAAACTAATAAAAGAGTGAAAAAAAGGGGTACCTCTCCAGCAGCAGCTGGATGCACTCTTCCAATTTCCCCAGTGTAAATAAACAAAGGAAGGCAACATTACTTTTTCCTTGCTCTTTGGCAAGGGATGAAAGTTTTAATATTCCTTGTGCATCTCCAATGGAAGAATAAAGAAGCAATAACCCACTTAAATCCATTCCATTCAATAGACAATCTTCAGCCAATTCTAACTGCACAAACAATTCAAGAGATCGTTGCAGTTCACCGATGTGCAAAATATCACACATCACACAAGATATTGCTAATGTTATAATTGCGGCCACGTGATTTTAACCATGAAAGAGCATCCAAAGAAACTATATCAGAAATGGCTAGAAATAGTAATGATCTGGCTCTCTAATTCTATCCCTTGTACTTAATTGGCTAAGATTTTAGTTTTGTGTAAAAATGCATATATATTAAATATATGTCACAAAAGTTGGCAATATTTATATCCATATATATATGTATATTTGAAAAGAGTACAGGGAAGAATCAATTCGGAAAGAAAATACAACAATTATAAAACAAAACAAAAAACTAAAATCACCAATCCTAATAATGCAGCCACGTAGGCATGTTATAAGTTCATGAAAACAAAAAATAAACTTTTATCGAAACATAGAACCTGACAAAAGGGTAATTTTTTTCCTTCCGATATTGAACAACACCCAAGTGTAGGCCACTCATATGAGATTTCCTACTTGTACAACTTTTGTATTTTCAGCCTTCTCGTATACATATATCACACTTGGTTTTAAGTAAAAAATTTTATCTTAAGTATGCATAATAAGTGACTTAGCAAATTGCAGTGCTACATTTAAAAATGACACATTAAAATCTAGCAAAAGATCGCCTGAACACCAAGTAATAAGAGAGATGTTCATGAGTCCTCTCAATCATAGTGTGGGACGGAAGGTACTACTACTGTAAATTTCTGCTCATCCATATGTAGTGGGAGAAGAATACCTGCCCAATTGACATAGCTAACTCTGCCAGCTGCTTCCATTTTGATTCGCTTTGGGCTTGAGTGGCAATTTCCTGAAGCGAAAAGGCAACATTGATTCAAAAGGGAGAAACTATTAAATATATAGTTACACGGACAGGGAAAAATAGATCTCTTCATTTGTATTATTATTATTTTTTTGTTCTGATAGTACAAATAAATCATAATTTCTCTTCAATATAGCTCCACAAAAAACTTTTCTAAGATCTAAACGTATAAAGCTTTACCTTTGCAATCTCAAGTCTTCCAAGTTGGATAGCTAGATCGAATTTGTAATCAGGATCAGTAGCCAATTCCAATGCATCTTCCAACATACCTCGAGACTCCAAAAAGCGAGCAACGCTAAGAAACAAAAATAGTTTCCATTGTAATATCAGTCAAATTTCAGAAAATCACCACTCATCAACACAAAAGCAAATAAGTAGCAACTTCAGGCAAACACAAACTGACGGACTAAATTTTGAACCTAATTGTTCATTAGGATAATTAGAAGTTCTAGTGGGTGGACTAAGTCCCTATTTTCAATGCAATGATACAAGAATTTGTGAACAAACGTAACATGGACAAGTTTGTAGTGACGGAGAGAATACCAACAGTCAACATACACAGTCTTTTCCTTTATTTTTTGAGAAAAATTGTATGCGTACTCCATACAATTCAGAAGTATAATTTCAAAGAAGACAGCAACCTAAAATAACTTTTGAGCTCTTTCCTCCATGTACGTGAGCAAAATCGTAAGTTACAACATCAAATTAGACAACAACAACAACAAGCCTTAATCCCATCCTAATTAGGGTCGGCTATATAGATTTCACTTTTCCACGCAGCTCTGTTCAAAATTAGACTTTCCTGAAGGCCTAGATCTAGAATGTCATTCCTAACTACTTCGGTCCACGTAATTCTTGGTCTACCCCTCCCCTCTCCTAGTATTAGGTATAAGAATGTCCTCCCAAGCATGAACTGGTACTTCTAGCGGTCTACGTTGGACATGCCCGTACCTCCTCAAGCGGCCTTCGCGCACCTTATCTTCTATTGGTGCTACACCTACTTTACTACGAATAACTTCATAGTAGCAAAACTAGACTGACACCAGAAAAGGGATTTAAATAATAATCACCAACAGAAGTGCTGGAATATAAAATAAAAAACTAAAATCCTCAAAGCTAAAGTTATACCACTTTTCCAATCAGTAATAGGCAGATTTGTTTTTAAGAAACCCTTAGACCAACGAACAACAAGCATCAAGCTAAGATTAGAGCTTACAAACCAAACACCAGGTAACATTACCTTTTATTGTATGTTGTCTTACCTATTATGATGCTCCGGAGGAATAGTTGGTAAAATTTGACTTGCACGCTCTAAATCTCCACGCATCACAAGAGTTTTGTATTCAATCAAGCTGACATGTAAGGTGTATCCCATGACACTAGAAAATAGAAGGCAACAAGTTAAAATCAATTTTGGTGATGTAAAATTTAGTATGTTATCCAGAACAACTTGCAAAGAAACACTCACTTGAAGTCTTTATCAATAAGATAAATCCGACTTTGATTGGCCAAATATCCCAACAGGTACATAGGTCGGTCCAGATGAAACATAGTCGTCACCTGAAAAGTCAAATTAGATCATAATAATTTTTCAATCATTGATGAAACTTTCAACTGTACAAGTATGTTGTGGAATCTAAAATATTCTTATACCTCATGACCAACTAGATAATTAAGTTTCCAAGAAGGGTTATTGTAGATGAAACAATCCCCAACCCATATTCCAGTTCTGACACGCTCATCTATTTCATGAAGAACCTCAAAAGCATTATGGACACCTTGTTCATCACCTGAACTTCCACTGTCAAAATATGATGATACAACATCCCGCTGCCAATAAACCGATTAAGTTTTTTATGTGAGCACAAATTCATAAAAGGAAATCTACTTTACCAAAAGCTAAGGCAGAATATTATAGAAAAGGAACTGGAATATATTATATGTATACCAAAGAAGAATTCTTACATTGTATTTCAGAATGTAGAACGATGAAACACTAGCAATTGCCACCAAATCACCACTATCAGCCCAATAAACATTCTTGAAAAGTCAATGAAACCAAAGGAATGTTAAACATTAGTGAAGATGATGCTAAAACCAGAAAATGATGACATAATGAAATGTTAGAGACGGTAAATCTTACTTTGACATTCACATCAATCCGCCTAATCAATCTACATTCGGCCCAGTCATAGAAACATATGAAGTCACTTGAGCACATTGCAAGTAAAGTGCCTCCGTAAATACGTTCACACGAAAATGTTGGTCGAATATTCTTCTTTTCCTAAAAAAAGGTCATTTTAGCAGAACAAACATCATTAAATTTTCTGCATAGCAAAGAATAATCATCATTTGTTTTAACAATACAGACCTTAAAGTCAATCTCACAATTTCATAAACGTCATGAATCATGCATTTGAAAGGGTCAAAACCTGGAATGTCTTGCTAAATATTTTGATCCTCGATGTACTTTCTCTAACAGCATATTCTCCATCTGATGACCATACAAGTTCCAGTGCTGAGCCAAAGGATCTATTTCTCCAAGCTAAGGCTGTATATATAATGTACTCGCCATCTCCACAAACAACAACAAACCTCCCATTGGGATTGTGCTTTAAGCTCTGATACAATCAAAAGGTCCAATATCAGCACATGCAACTTAGTTGTCGTATCCAGGTCCCAAGAATAGTTAACTTTATTGATTATAGTAAACATCTAATTAAGTGAAATAGGTAAATTTCTAACTTCTAAATATTAAGGTCCAATAGTGAAATGAATAAAGGCCTTTTAAAAAAAAAAAAAAAAAACAACTGAGGATGAAGATTGTGTATTCCTTCCACAAAACCATACATTAAAAAATATCAGCACATAGAACCACCATAAGAGAAAAGGTTTGAGTTAAAAAAAAAAAAAAAGAAGGTATCCACTTGCACTAAAATAGTTCTCAAAAGAGAGCAACTTACTTGAGGATAAAGATCGCATGTTCCCAACTCCTTAACGGCCAACGGCAATCTTTCTCCATCATCGACCTGAGTAGCCATTAACCAAGATTGACAACTTTATTGTTTTTGGTCCATGCAAATAAGAACTTAATATCAAGTATAGAGACAAAGCTCTGAGCAAGCAGGGAGATCAAACCTCAGTAGTCCCAACACTCTTGATATTTACAGTTTGAACCTCATTATGCTTGGCCCAAATTATTTTCCCACCATTGTCCATGCTAGCCACTGGTTCTTCTCGACCAATTTTAACCATGATGGCTCCTTCATCATAACCAATTACAATCCTGTCAAATTAGAAAAACAGAAAGAAGACAATCAATAGTGTTATACAGAGACAAAAGCAAGAGAGAAATAGCGTATGCATTTCAGACTCCAACATAATAAAAACAACGCATACTTTAGCCTCCTTCAAAAGTAGGTATTGCATAATTCTTGGTGAACTTTAAAAGCCAACAAGCTTACCGTCGTGAACCTTTCATGTACCCAAGAGCCCAAACTCGCTCAAGCCCATAGTTCAATGTGTTCTCAAGCCTACTCAAGTAAGGGAAAAAGTGAGAAGTCTAGAAAAAAATTACAATACGTAAGACTCACAAGGGTATAAATTCATACCCTATGATTTCCTATCTTAGGAAACCATGGAAAAAAAAAAAAAAAAAAAAAAAAACAACAACAACAACTAAAAAGTAAAGAAATTTGAACCATACTATATTAACTTTGAACTTTTAGTTAAAAAAGGATAAAGGAGAAAAAATGCAAGAAATTGAAAAGAAAATGCAACAGTGATTAAAGCATGAAGTTGCTAAAGGAGAAGCAGAATGCCAAATAAACACGTGAATCAATGAGAATGAAAGCAAAATATTAATAAAAAATTAATTTGAGAAATCCCAAGTGATTGATAAGGCTCTTGAGAGCTAATGATCGCATCAATACGAAATGTGACATGAAATAAACACAATACATAATTTTCCAAGAAAAACAAAGAATAGGACGAGCAACTTTTCCTTCATAAAAATAAGAAATTTTAGGACAAGGTATAATTTTTAGGGCCTCAATGATTCAATCATCATAAGCTATTATCTTTGCTACTTAACGTTAAATGAGTTGAGAATGAAAGCCTTGTACAAAAACATGTATTGCTTCACTAAAATTTAGGATGTACCTATAAGTGGTTGAATGCCATATTCGAACAGTTCCATCCTCAGAACCAGTAAATATTATTGGGAGTTCAGGATGAAAACAAGCTGCAGAAACATTGTGAGTGTGTCCTTCAAGTGTCTGAACACAACTTTTGGTTTGATAATCCCACACCTATTTGCATGGATTCAGATTACAATCTTTTCAAACTAAACATGCAAATGCAAGAAATACATATACTTCATAGTAACTCAGCTTGCTTGCCTTTGCAGTTTGGTCATCAGATCCACTGATTAAGTATGGCTTGTCACCCCCAATAAAGTAATCAACACAATTTACTCCTTTCATGTGGCCTTCCAAGGTAAAATTAGGGTCAATTGAGCTGAGATTCCAAACCTGGAAGGCAGATGAATTAATAACAAAGCCATATTGCACAAAAACAAGTTAAAAATTATGATTACTTTTTTCTTCAAAACAACTCACAAACTACTAGGTTAAAGAACATCCACTCCTACCTTTATTGTTCGATCTAGGGAGGCACTTGCAAATGTGTTGGTGTCTTTAGGATTAAATGTGACTTGCATTACATAATGAGAATGCCCCTCAAATATCTGAGTGCACATCCAATTCTTTTCCCAATCCCAGAGTTTAATAAGCATGTCATCAGATGCTGACAGCACATATGGAAGCGTTGGATGAACAGCAACACTTCTAATATAGTCCGTATGTGCTTCAAAACTTTTAACCTTGTCCATGGTGTTATAGTTGAATGCACGTATAGTCATGTCATCAGCTCCAGTGACTATCCACTGCTTGCGTGCTATAAATTTAGCTGATCGAACTGCAAGGATATTCAAACAATTTTATTCTTGATGAGTTACCATGTAGAGAACAAGTGAAATTAGAAGAGAAGAAACATGAACATATTGAATACCTGGCAGTTCAGAGACTTCAAAAGAGTTTACCGTGTTCTGAAGAAGTTCAGTAATGTTTTAGTCAGCACTGTCAGAATGTCATTCTCAAACAAGCATGCATCTCTACAAGCTTAAATGTTCAAACTAACAGCCCCCAATAATTACCATAAGAAAATAAATTGTAGAAAAACACATTACAAAAATCCTAAAAATAAACCATAAATGCCATACAAAAAACTCCTACCAATTGTTTAAAAGCTACTAACCTGTGACTGGTAGTTCCAAATGTACACGGTTCCGGAATACAAACTCGCAAGAATCCTGCAGAAAGGTGAAAAATACAAGGTTTCACACTTCTGATTAGCAAAACAACAATTGAAATTGATAATCAAAAGTTTTGTTTTTGCATGATAGCATATTATATAGCACACGATAAAATTACCATGGCTCAGTTGGATGGAGATCCACTGATTTTACTCTCTCAGTTCTTTGTGCAAATTTTCTCTGCAAAGGCAAATTATATCAGTAGAATACTAGACCATTTCAAAGCAATAAGATTAAATTCGCGGTTGGACTGATAGCGAATAGTATCATTTTGGGGGGATTGAAGATACTAACCTTGATGTCAAGCCTGAGAGGCTGCAAAACAATCACCAAAAAAAAAAAAAAAAAAGCACAAAAAGCAGAAAACTAGTTAGTTCAACAAATTCCAAAAATAAAATACACTTCTGAATCTGAAAATAGTCATTCAAGCAGAATTCAGTCCATGATAAACTTCTAAAAAATAATGAAAAAGAGAGAAAAACCTGACGATTTTATACTAAGCTAGATTGCTAAGAAAATTGAGTTTACAAAAACATGAAGAGAAAAACAACGTCGTTTTATTGCAAAGAAACGAAAAAGCGAAGCTCAATCAGTTACAACGTCTACATTTCCGGTTTAACGAGTTCATAATCAGAGATGTTCAAGTAACGAAATCATTGAAAAATCTCAATCGCGAAATTTCTATTTTCTTTTCCTTCTTCGCACTTTCTCGGAAACCAAACAATAATAAAAAAAGGATGTCGAAAAAGCTAAAATGGATGAGAAGGACATGCAATTGGATCAAAAGCTAAAATCAAGCAGAGAAACGTTACCATTTTCGGGTGCTCAGAGACGGCGGACTCGAGAGAATCGGAAGATGGCGTAGAAGCCGAGGGAATCTGCAGGGAAACCAGCAATTCAAGGGAAATTGGAGAAGGAAACTCGTTCAAACCTAAGAGAGATAGACGGCAAAGAAGCAAGGAGCACTAAGCTCAATTCCATTCATCAAAAGTTCAAGCTGCTGAAACAGCCTACAAAACCAGCCCTTATACTCGAGAGGCTCACATCAGGGACTTAAGCCAAACTCAAGGCTAGGATAGGGAATTTACAACCAAACGACAACACTACTAACCCAGAAACCGTGAGGCAAACGACAGATAACCTAAACAAACGACAGTGCTTATAAAAAGCTAAGTAATAAAAGGATAGAAATTCCGGAAGAGCTTGTGCAGAGAAAGAACGAATCTCGAGAAGATTGGAAAGAGAATCTGTGGAATCGAAGGGATAAAAGCAGTGGTCGGAGACTGAGGTTCAACGTCACTGGCCGGTGCCCAGTATCGGCGAAGAAAGTAAAACTGTTTTGAGAAAGCAAAACGGAGCGAGGGAGGTTTTGGAGTTGGATTTGGGTTTTGTTTTTGGGCTGGGCCGGATTGTTGTAGTGTCCAGTTCAATCGTGAAAGCATGTTCATGAACGGAAATACGATGTCGTTTTTGGGAATTGGATTTTGGAAGGATGGTATGGAAGACGCGGGCGGGTAAAGAAAGGAAATTATTATGCAAAAAATAGGTAAACAAGTTAATTTGGAAAAGAAAATTAATAATCTCTTAAGAATAGTGTCTTTAATAAGAATATTTATTATTTAATTAATAAAATAGTTTATTCATTATTTATGTGCATATATTATTGAATACTTTATGAATATCATTGAAAATTTTGTGATTATTTACGTGACTTAAATATTATATATAAGTGTGATATACGAAAGAATAATATTTAAGGATAATGATCAAAATAATATTCGTAATGAATTTAATTAAAGTTATGAAATATTTAATTAAAACATTATTAATACACGTCATTCCCATTAAGAATGAAATGATATTATCTGCATCATTAATATAAAGAGATATTAAATGAGTATATTATGCATAATAAGATTATGTAGAATTGGGACACAGATACAATTTAATTTTCTGATAATTTTCGTTAACTATAGAAAATCAAATTTGAGTCTACCGATGGTCATATATAAAATGATCTTAATCTTGAGTTATTAGTAGATTTCTATTTATGGATTCGTGTTTTTTTATTTACTCGGTACAAATTTCGAGATCCTAAATCCTATTGCTTATATCTTAAAAAATGATGAAATGGATAGTCAGGAATACTAATATACGAGATGGAATTCATTCCTTTTTTTTAAGACGTAGAAAAATAATTCCCTTGAGGGTTAGTTCGGTACTTGAAAAAGTAACGAGCTCGTATTCATAAATGTACTTTATGAATATACAATTTATTAGATAATTAATAGTACTCAATGATAAAGATGTAATTATAGAGGTTAATGGATTTTACCAAGCTCTAATTATGAATTATTTATGGATGATTGATCTATATCTAATGACTATATCGAATGGACACTTCAGCTTCTTATAAGTAAATTATGTCTATAATTTCGAGAGTGCAATTTCAAGTTTTTAGTTGAGTAACTTTTAGAATTAATAGAATTAATTAATTAAAAAGTTTAATTAATTATTAATTTTATTAGAGCTCAGAATTATAGGAACATGAGTCCTTGCGTTATCCTTGTAATATTTGCAAGACAAGATAAATTATCGGGATTTAATATCACTCGAAATAAATAATAAACCCTCCCTCGACGCCTGAAGGTAGGTTTAACAAAATTAATCTTAATATATTAATTTAAGATTATTAATTATATGTGCTTAAAACAAACATAAATATAAACAAACACGATTTTGTTTTTTTATTATACTCAAACCAATCTCTTGAAATATCACCAAACATAATTTTAAAATCGGTTGCATAATGATTTTTAAAACAATCTCATTTTCATTTTTATACTGAAAACAAAATCATTTTAAAAATATTACCAAACGGTCCTTTGTTTTTCACTTTACCAGAGAGAAACGGTGATTATTACTGTAGAAGATTAATGTAATTCATTTAAATTTTTAATTATTTTGTGGACCCCACGGTAAATAAATTTTTTTCACATCCTCATATGTCAAAGCCAAGTGGACAGACACGTGGAAGCCACGTCAAGTGGTGAGGGCAAACGCCGGTGCCCTTAGCTTTAACCCTACGCAAAGTTATACGGCACTCTTAGGGTCCGTTTAGTTTGTTGATTCAAGTTGAGATGTGACTTTATATGAGAGCTTTTTACTGTAGTAAAAAAATTAAATGTGACGGTTTCTGAGAGCTGTTTACTATAACAAACTTGAATTCTAAACTCGAATCGGTCAAATTAACGGGGCCTTAGTGCCTCTCACCACAACCGATTTGCCAATGAGGTGGATAGACAAGGTGGCTACTTATTTGACTTTTTTACGGAGATTCTTATTCGAGTTTTTAATTTCAGTTTTATTATAATTAAAAGTTTTCATAAAAAATCACATGTAATTTTTTTTAATATAATTAAAAATTTTCATATAAAATCAAATCTTAATTTAAATTAAAAATTTAAATCAACAAACTAAAAAAGTACAATTTCCTAATTGCTTTTCTATTAAAAAAAAAAAGCTAATTAGGGACCCACCATTTATGACCTAACTCTCTTTCTCTTTCTTCTATAACCCAACCCACCATCTATGTATCATTCACTGACTACTGACTTCTTTCTACCGCCCAGGACATTTCCAGCAAATTGCTTACCACTTGTCTTGAAGTTGTACTTTTCTAAATATTAATAGGTGGATTTAAGTTTTCTATCTATAAAAAATTGTGAGGTGTACAACTTTTATTCATTCAATTTTTCTTTTCTTCTTTCCTCCCTTTATTTATTTTATTTTCAAAACTTTGTAATTTTGTAGTTTTGTCCTACGCTCAAACTTCACAGTCTTTATAAAATTTGGTCAATCGATTAGTTTGTCTAGTAAAATCTTGTCCACAAAAATTGGAGAAATATGAAAAAAAGAAACATTTATGAGTTGCATTGCATACGATGAACCGCGTTTTAAAAGTATTCTCATAATCTTATGACAAAAATGTATTCTCAAAATTCAGAATGAGATTCTCTGTCCCTTTTTCTGTTTTTCTTTCTGTCCCTCCACATATTGTGATTATTTAATTAAATTAATTTTAGAATACACTATGGTAGGACCACAAAAGGTCACATGGCCAGGCATAAGGAGGAGCAGTGGGCTTGTGACACATGTAGAATCCCACTGGGATTGAGTTGCTTGCTCTCTAAGATATTTAGTTTACTTATTTGATAAGTTTTCCAATTAAAATTAAAAGGAAAGTAAAATATGACTTTATTTAGATTTGAATTTGAGCTAAAATTAGAAATTAGATAAAGAAGGAGTTTTCTCTCTCTCTCTCTCTCTTGCTGCAAATTTGCGCCAACCACAGGGAGGTCTCCCTGTGGTGTGGCCGGCCATATAGTAGAGGGAATGGAGAGAATTTTGTTTTTAAAATTAAATAAGAAACTGTATTTTAATGAGATTAAAATATAGTAGTAACCAATTTTCTATTGCTTTATCTTCAAATTAAAGCAAATAGGTTCTCCTAGTGTTCTATAAATAGGAGACAATAGAAAATTAGAGTAGAGAATTTTTGCTCTTGAGAGAAAAAAAAGAAGAAAATTTCTTCTAATTCTCAATTTTTTCACATACATGAAGAGACACAAATTAGCGAGTGATCTAATTTGATAGTTCTTTATTAGAGCCCACTCTCTAGGTCTCGTAGATTTCAAGGACTAGACGAGAAAGATTCGAGGTTTTTAAAAAGCTTAGAGCTTGAATTGTTCGTGGTCAAAGATCTTAAGTTATCTGTCTAATCGTTTGCTAGGTATATATCTTTATAAATTATGATTAATTTATTATTGTATAAATAAATATAATCTATAGAGAATTCAAAAATTTTATGAAAATTTTTGTTATACACAATCCACACTACCACATTTCTGCATACGAAAACGTTTTGAAAATCAAACGTAATCTCTATATGCATTACATCTTTTCTGTAATTGTTACAAAAAAAAAGTTTTTTTGTTGATGTTATTATCTTTAGACGAAAGTTTCACGAAATGCAATATTTTTTTTTTCCTCCTGAAAATACGAAATGCAATTTCTTTTTTTTTTTTTGAGAAAGAAATGTAATTTGGAAAATTGGGGGTGGCAGCCGAATTTGGCCACCACAGATAATGGCCTCGTTCATTTCGTTGATTCGAATTTTGCTACACTAAAAAGCTCTCACAAACAATCACATCTAACTTTTTTACTACAGTAAAAAGCTCTCACATAAAATCACATTTCAACTCGAATTAAAAACTCGAATCAGCGAACTAAACGGGCAAGTAGCTTGTTTTTCTAAATTAGGGAGTGTAAAAAATAAAGAGCATATTCTTTTGTCCATAAAACTAAAAAAAAAACAACTCAAGTTTCAACTTTATTCAAGTTCACGTTCTTTTAAGTTTCAACTTTATTCAATTTTACTCAATTTTATTCAAGTTCTAACTTCAACTCAAGTTATAACTTAAATTCAACTAAAAAACTACACTCAAGTTATACTCTAAAAGAACAACCCATAAAATTTGGACTTTCAATTTTACCCCATCTTTCTCACTGAACTCTGCTCGATTTCTGGCTTATCTCTCGCTCTATTCTCCCACTTAGCTTTCTCTCCCTCTCATCTCTCCCCTCTCTCATCTGGCTTTCCGTCGTTGCATCAAAAGGAGGAGGCTGGCATCGAGCAGAAGGAGGAGGACGACGTCTGCGCCTCCGTCGCTGAGATCTCTGTCTCTGTCACGTTTAAGTTGACGGTGTCGGTCGATATTTTCAACGGTTCTCCCGGTGCCACTCCATCTATCGATGGACCGGAACGAAAAACCAGTGATTGATCGGAGTCAATCACTGATTGACTTGAGTCAATCACTGACTGACCGGAATAAATCACTGATTGACCGAACATGATACTTGAAGTTGCTGAGAACTCGCCGGAAAAAATGGCAAACTACCGGAGATAATGGCAAGATCTGTGACGGAGAGATTCAACGAGATCTCACGTTGCTGCGACAAAAACAGGAACTTGTCACGGAGAAACCAGATCTGCAGCGGCTGATCTCCAGAAACGCAGAGAGAGAGGATGTGCTTGACTTAGAGAGAGAGGGAGAGAGAGAGATCAACTGGATTTCTTGGTGTGTGTCGGCCATGTCTGCTAAAAGGAAGATAAGCTAGGGTTTTGTGGGAAAATAGTCTTTTCAACAACCTCTCCTTTTTTTACCTGCCTTTTTTTTAATTTTGAAAAACCTGAGTCATTCATTGATAAAACCCCATTAAAACCGGCTATTATTGCTGTAATCCCATGTAATTTTATCTTGAAAAAGTCGTTGCTACTTGCTAGTCTTGAGCCAGGTATTTCTCAGGAGAAAATCATTTCCCTTTCCCGTATTCTTAGTTATGTTGGTGCTTTGCTTTTGTTGGTTAGCTAGGATGGTGCTTCTGTTTCGGTATCCTTTTATTGTTTATTTCTTAAAATTTTTTAAAGAATAAGGCCGTTCGGTTCGCTAATTCGAATTTTTAATACGAGTTGAGATGTGATGTTGTGTGAGAGTTTTTTACTGTAAAAAAAAAGTTAGATGTGACTGTTTCTGAGAACTTTTTATTGTAGCAAAACTTGAATTCTAAACTCGAATCAATGAAAAGAACGGGGCTAACATGTTCTCTTTTCAAAATTCAGAGTTCAAATCTCTCCATCCTTTATAAGAAAAAATAAAGTCTAAAATGCCAATATTTCAGAGACACAACATCATACAATTACTGCTGCGAATAATAATAACTTCAAAAAAAAAAAATGTTCGGATAAAATGAAAAAAAGTAAAATAATAATAATAATAATAATAAACGAAAATTTGAAGTCTAAAAAACCGAGACGTTTCATTTAATCTAATAAGATATTTGTTACAACCACGTAGCCCACCCCCTTGATAAAAACAACTCCCCAAATACATATTTCGTATATTGCCAGAGAAGTATCTGTAATTTACAACATTTTAACCACAATATTACAGGCATTAACTAAAAAATGTAAACTTATCTATTGCTTCTTCTTCATCTTCTTCACTATCTTACAGGGGCAAAAAACCAGGTGTAACAAATTTCATTGAAAAAAAAAAAAAAAAAACTAAAGTAATATTGACATGCACAAATGTCAAAGAGACGTAATAGTGGAGTGTGGTTCAGAGGTTACGTCGCCGTTTTGCTTCGATTTGTGAAGTGAAAACTGGCATGCCTCCACGGCGTCCTCCACTGATAAAAAGAAGTTTTCCTTCCCAATCTTGTCTATGAAATGTGATTGTATGAACCTTTCCATCACTCTCAACCTTGGGTTTACTATGGCCATCTACAATTACATAATGAAAATAATGACCATTAATATTATATGGAGAGAAAGAATAGTGTATTTATATTTATCCCCTCAATTTTACTTTATAGACGTCTCGTTCATTTCACCGATTTGAGTTTTTAATTTTAAGTTTCTACAGTAAAAAGCTATCAAAAAATGTCACATCTACCTTTTTCTGCTATAGTAAAAAGCTCTCATAAAATGTTACATCTAAACTCGAATTGAAAATTCGAATCTGTGAAGTGAATGAGACCTATAAAGCCAAAGTCTTTGTCCTAATATATGAATCTTATTTTGATATGGTGATGCTAATCAGATGCAAAAAGTGATGATATTTTCATCACCGCGGTCCCACAATCTAATATATGGGGCCGTTCTTATTTTAATACAGAGCTGAGGCTCGAGATGTTTCTAACTACTACTTTTTTTTTTTTTTTTTTTTTTTCGTAAACCTTCTACACTTCTAAGGAGGGTTAAATTAGTTTTGTCCTTTTCAAATATTTATTTATTTTCATTTCTCTGTGTGGGCTTACCTTAACCCCCTTTGAATACAAAGTTCTTTGAACTTCAGTCAATGTTTCAATGCCGGTCACGTCTATAGTTGAAACTCCTGCAAAACGAATAAGTTTCAAATCATGTACATGTATGTATTCGCCAATAGTTGCAAATATGAAGTATTATATATATTGATTGATTGACCAAATATTCGTCGTCTTCGCTCATATTTGATAATGCGAATTCTATGCCTCATTCATTTCACCGATTCGAGTTTTCAGTTTTAAATTTTTACAGTAAAAAGCTCTCAGAAAATGTTACATCTAATTTTTTTTTACTACAGTGAAAAGCTCTAAAAAGATGTCACATCTCAGCTTGAATTGAAAACTCGAATCTGCGAAGTGAACGAGACCCTAGTATTTGTAGTGCCTTACCTGTCAAATCCAACAAAACATGCTCAATCACACCCCCTTCAGATTCTGAATTGGCTTCCTCGTCTCTAATCCACCTCAAAATCCTATTGTCAAAGTTCAACAATAAGAGCTACTCAGAGCTGTATATATTAAGACGTATTAATCAAATATTGCTACATATATATTTAGTACTACTATTGCACCATATGTAAGTAATTACCTTTCTCTAATATAGTTTCCATTTGCAAAGAATATGGGAGAACCGAGTTGCAAGACCATGACTCCTGGGATCACTGTGGCGCCAGGATATTGCTCTGTGTCACGGTACAGGATTGAGTTTTGTATTTTTCCAAGCTTGCAAGTGGCTGGTCTAGCCACGTACAGAAGAGCTCTCAGCAGACCAAGTCCCACCTGACAAAAAATTTAACAAAATAATTTATGTAACGATAACAATGTAAAATAATTGTAGTGATTCAAGTCACACATCAAAGACTATAGTACAAATATTGTAGAATACTTCGGTGACAAAGTCAGAAATTTTTATTTATTTATTTTTTTCATGATCGGTTGTGATAGTACTTATGGAGAGCATGAGACCGACCGTCATGCTAATAAAGATTATAGTACAAATATTGTAGAATACTTCAATGACAAAGTCAGAAATTTTTATTTATTTATTTTTTCCATGATCGGTTCGGTTGCGATAGTACTTACGGAGAGCATGAGGCCGACCGTCATGCTAATAAAGACGACCCCGGAGAAGGCGGCCGCGCAGATGAAGAAATCAAACTTGTCAACCTTGAACAAATGAATGATCTCGGAATAGTTGATGAGGCCAAACATAGCGGACATGATAATGGCAGATAGAGCAACGAGAGGCGTGTAGCTAAACAGAGGGGCCAAGAACAACAACGTCAACGCCATGCAACATGCCATTACTACGTTCGACATCGCCGTCCTTGCTCCAGCGCTGTAATTCACCGCCGTTTTCGAAAATGGCCCTGCAATGTTTTATCAACAAACGTCACTTTTATGTCGTAAAATCTATTTATAGAAAGTTGTATGTTACATGTTAAAAAAAGTTATAAATCATTTCAATTATGGTATAGTTAATTTCCTTATTTTATATGTACCTGTAGTCAAATAACATGAAGTGCAAGATCCAACGATGTTCATGAAGCCAAAAGCAATCATTTCCTTGTTCCCATCAACTTGGGCGTTGTTAATGATAGCAAAGCTCCTCCCAATAGCTATTCCTTCCTGCAAATAAATAATTTGATAAATATTAAATTTCCACCTATTAATTCACCTCTTCCACTTAAAAAAAGAAGAATAGAACAATACATATACATATACATATATATATATATATATTAACAGCATAAAGTTAGTGTGCTTACAGCCAGAGAAATTAGGCCAGTAATGAGCCCTGTTTTCAAAACTGCTGGTAAATATTTTGAGTCAAAGTTCAAATAATGAATGGACAGAGGATTAATGCCTTTCTTCAGTTTGCCCACCTAAAAAAGCAGAAAAATGAAGTGTGAACATTACTGGAAGAGATCCGTCATGTGAAAAATAATCAGCCAATAAAAAAAAAAGTGTTCGTCTGTGAAAAGACATTTTTGTCTCCTGTTGTTCCATTAACTTGTGGCAACAAAAAGGCTAGCCAAATATTTGCACTATTAATGATGATGATAAGAGATTATAGTGAAAATAAAATAACAACCGCAACTATAATAATAACAATGGCCAAATTACATCAGTTATGAATATTGAGCTTATTGGGACATTTAATTCTAATTTCTGCTTATGTTTAGGTCCAAAGTAAGTCCATAATCATTATTAAGATGTGGGTAAATTGTACTTAATTCAAAGTTTGGTATCACATCGTCCTAGAAAAAGCTCAGTAGTTAGCGAGTCACTATTTGATTCCAGTAAATAGTAGGGTTAAACCTTTGTTCTATATATATATATATATATATGAACTATCTCTAATCCAGCACTGATTAGAATGACATATGTATATTTTCTCTTAAAAACATGTATATTTTATCTTAAAATGTGTATATAGGTGTTTAGACAAATTATAGGTGTCTTCCCACATTATACATGTTTTAAGAGGACATACTTACATATTTTTAAAAAAAAATATACATATACCTCTCTAATCTATAAAAGGGAAATGGTAAGGAAGGGAAAAAAAGGGCAGATAACAAATACTAATATTACAGATCGAAAAAATTAGCCTTTTTTATTATTATTGGTACATAATCCTTTGAATTTGTAAAACCTTTGAAAATATTTTCTGTTCTTTTTATGTATTTAGCTGCACTTTAAAATTCACTTGTAATTAAGTCACTAAAATTTTTAGTTTATAAAAATTGATGACAAATAAGGGCACTCACAGTTTGTATCCCATGTTCTGGTCCATGGATCAAATAAGCAAAAACACAGCCAACTACGACGACTACCATTGGAGCCATTGCTGATACCCAAAATAGCTTTGGCCTTTTTTGCCTCTGAAAGATTATTTAGCCCCAAAATATTAATATATATATATATATATAATTATAGTGGGAGAGAGCTGAAGAAACAAAAAGTCACAGATAGAGCGCTCACAATATATCTGGTAAATTGAAGGAAAATAAGGAAGATTATGCCAACTACTGCACTTTCCCACCTCCACTGCAAAAGAATACGCATGGCATTAGTTAAATTGTCCATGTTTATCAAGTACAATTGACCTTTTTTATCTTTTCAATATTAGAGCCTAAAAATCAAAAGCAGGGTACTTTGGTCATATAATGTTAGCACTAAGCCTCTAATAAAGATGAGTAGCACACAACATCCACCCACCAGGTACTTTGGTCACAATTTTTTTCAATAAATATAGCTTGATTCGATTAGGCCCAGTCAAAGCACACATATTGAGTTTTAAGACTCGTGCACTTTTAAAAGTAAATTATACAATTTTTTCTTTTGTGCGTGAGATTCACTGACTAAGTAGGGCCACGCCCATATTTCACATTGTGACGCAGCCTGATTGAGACGTGAAGTATTTTCAATAAATATTTTTAAACTTTTTTTCTTTTTGTTCGAATAATTAATTTTTGCTTTATATAGAAGCAATATTTGAAGTGTGTCAATATTTCACTTTGAAAACACACTTCACCATATATACCTCATTATCAATGTGAATATAATTTGATCATCGTCAAATTTCGTCATGTGGTTACGGACTTGCTCAAAAGCCGATCCTCTATTTGAACCAAAAAAAAAAAAGCTAAAAAAAAAAGATACTTTTTTTTCCCCTCCCCTCTCCTCTCCTCTTGCACACAATTACCTCATGTCTATATTTGATGATAGCATGAACAACAGAGATGATGTCTGTTTTGGTCGTAAAATGCTTCATTCCAAATATGCCTTTCAACTGTTGCAAGCAAATCAGTGTTGCGGTCCCTCCCATGAAGCCAGTAATCGTGGAATGAGATAAGAAATCCACCAATATCCCTAACCTGCAAAATTAATCACTATCTTCCTTGTAATTTTGTTACTAATTAATTAATACCCCAAATGCCCAATATCACGCAAACAATAATTATTAATTTTTAATCGACGCCAAGTAAAGTAGATGACGATGAATTACAATGGCGGTATAAAAAATTAGCAAATTTTTATATATAGAAATGATCAATTAATATTATTCATGGTATCTTCATTTATTGCCATATATTTACCTTAGAAAACCTAAAAGTGTCTGAAAGATGCCGGTGACGAAGGTGGCAGTGAAAACTAAGTGCAGGTACAATGCCGGATCGGACTCCGGCGACGCCGCTTTCCCGATGGTTTCGGCGATGAGCAACGAGCACGCCGCCACCGTCCCCACCGCCAGATGCTTCGAGTCTCCAAAAACGGCATATATAAGCGGCGGTACAAAGCTCGAATCTGCTCATGATCAAAATAATCACAAATAAGAACAAATGATTTAAATCTCTAGAACTAGACATTATTGTTAAATGATATTTAGGATTAAGATAATTCCATTAAGAACAAATAAATAAAACGAGGTTGCATGGGACTTAAACTATTACTATTAGTATTACTTACATAGGCCAATGATCGGAGGAATGTTGGCGAGTTTGGCGTAACTGATCCCTTGAGGGATGGCGAGGCTGGCGATGGTGATTCCGGCGAGCAAATCGAACCGAAAGAGGCGGAAGTTGTACCTGGGGAGCCATCCGAAGATCGGGACGAAGTACTCAACCGCCTTCTTCAGGCGGCGGCGGGGGCGGTCCTCGTCGCGGAAGCGGCCGAAGGGGTCGTCGGGGAAGAAGGTCTCCTTGAGATCGGATTTGAAGGTGGCGGCGAAGCCCCTCGGCTCCGAAAAGCTCACCGAGTGGTCGGAATTGAGTGGAGTTGCCATTTTTTTTTGGTAGGGGTAATACTGAAAGGAAAAATAATAATAATAGCAGTATTAGCAGAAAATAAGAATGTTGTGGTTGAGAGGAGGAGAGAGGCTAGCTAGGGGGTTTGCACATTGCAGTTAGGGATTGGAGATTCAAGAGGAGTACGTGTATTTATAACCAAAAACTTAGTGGGGTACAACGAGAATAATTATTAGGGGTTTTTTCATGGATTTGTTTGGATAAGAGTAGAGGACTAGGCACCACATAACACAGCGGAAAAACTTTTAATCTAATTAATTAGGTTTTTTAGTTAGGTAATTATGGTAATTGGATTATGTCGTATGATATGATCAATTTGGTCCAACTAAGGGCTTTTTTTTTCCTCTCTTTGGGAGGGGGGGAATTAACTGTTTCACGTGTAGGTAGGGATATGAAATCGGTCAGTTTTGTTGGGAGGAATGATGATTTTGAGTTGATTTCTTGATATATTGTCTAAAAGCTTGTATATATAGTGATATTATAAAGTCTAGAAAAAGAAAAAAAAAAGAGTAAAAAAAAAGGAGAATAAATCATTCTACTAAATAAAGTTATTTTGTAACTCTAGTGTTTATAGGAACACTCGACCCTTTAACACGCTTAATCATAAAACCTTGACCAGTTAACTTGCATATTTTACAGAATTCTTAAATTTTTTTTAAAGGGAAATTACATTTAAACAAAACATAAAATTTGATTCAATATTAATAACCCATCAGAAGGATATGAATAATAGCATCTCTCTTAATTGATGTACTTTTTTTAATTAATTAATTAGTTTTGTAACATGCTCCGCACGTATTGTCGTGTTGGAGTGTTAAAAAAAGTATATGCGTGTTGTCCTGCATAGAAAGTGGATGAGAATGTGAAGTGGTTTATATACATGGAAGAACCCAAGACCTAATAAGTTAACATTTTGAGTCAAGTTAGGCTCCTGAAGTGTGTTGGGCTAGTTTTCGCATGTGGTGTCTCCTCAACAAGTGGTATCATAGCTGATAATTTGTATGGGCCAAGCAATCACATTCAGTTGCAGTTTCCACGTTGCCTCCCGTAGAGAGTTGGTGTTCCCGCAGTTTGGTAGAGCATTGGTGGGCTCACATGGTTTCGGCTCTCTTTCACATGCTCGAGTTGGCTCTCGTTTGGAGTGTGATGCTTAAATGTGCTATCTACTAGAAACTTTGATTTGAGGGGGAGCTCGGTGAACACACACATGAGGGGGAGATTGTTGAAAAAAGTGCATGTGTGTATTGTCTCACATGAAAAGTGGATGAGAATGTGAAGTGATTATATACATAGAAGGACCCAAGACCTAATAGATTAACTTTTTAGGTCAAGTTGGGCTCCTGAAGTGTATTGAGTCAGTTTCGCATGTGGTGTCTCCATCCTAGATTGAAGAGTTTGTTGTTTTACCTAATAATAAGAAATTCATTTATACAATTATTTAAAGATTTTTTAAATTTATTTAAAAAAAAATGTGTAAAGATAATAATTGACAAAAAAAAAAAATTAAATAGAGACACATTTGAATAAAATTATTTTAATGAATTAAAAATAAAATAGGAACACATGTGAAAAAAATTACTCACACATATATTTTTTAAAAGCACACAATATAAAAAAATTCACAATAAAATAAAGATAAAAAAGAAAAAAAAAAAGGCAAGTGGAGGGCCCAAAAAAACTTTAACTTTTCTTATGTATTGTTAAATTAATAAAGTAGCACTACGTGTGTATGGTAGTAAATATAATCCACATTTGACCATAAAGTTTAAATCTCCTCTCCAGAGTTTGAATCAATCCCTATCATAAGTTTAAAAAGACAAAAAAAAAAAAAAAAAGAAGGTATGTGTATAATGAAGGGAAATCAATGATAAAAATTAAAAACCTGTTGGATTTTTTCCGACTAGAAAAACGTAAGTGTGGATTTTATCTAATTAAAAAAATAAGAAACGATAATATTGTATTAAAGTAATGGCTGCAAGGAGGACTAGCAATTTGGGTAGCGACACGATGATACGACTCAAAACCTGCACGAAGTTAGCAGATTTAGATTTACTATAAATGGGTTTGGGTCATGATCGAGTTGATACGATTAACACAATTAATAAATGTGTTGGTTTAGGGTTGACCTCATAATATAAAGTGACATGAATTGACACGATTAACTATATGTATCATCTGCAATCTAATGATATGTGATATAACATGAAAGTTTATATGACATATTAAATACAAATAATGTGAATTTTAATATTTGTAGGTAAAATTCATTTATTTTTTTAAATGAAAAGATAAATTGACTAATAAACATGTTAAATATGTCTTAACTATGTTAAATAAGTTATTATTATATTATTTATTTATTCAATATATTAATTTAAATGGGTTATATGGGTTGACACGATTAATACAATTAATAAATGAGTTGTGTTTAGGTTGATATTTTTGACATGTTTAATAAACATATCTTGTTTGAGTTAATATTTTCTAACACGATTAATAAACGAGTTGACACGAACACAATCCACTAACACAAATTGCTACCCTCAACTGCAAGTTAGTGATGCATTATATTCAAGATAACACAAAAATGGCATTAGAGCGTCAGATTTGATCTGCAAGGAATATATTTCGGAACGAAAGCCAAATCCCATTATTTGAATTTTGAACTTATTTTGTTTTAGGGAAATTTTTTGTATGCATGTGATCAGTATTCTTGGCCTTTAAAAAAAAAAAAAAAAATTATCATATTCTAGAAAATTGAAAATATTAATTAACATGCTCTTAACCAGATTAAAAAGAAAACGTGTAGACTATATATGTAAAACATATTAGCATATCTTCCCTCTTCTATTAATATGAAAATTACAAACGTTTAGAGAAATACAATAGGCTGCATGCATGCCTGTTTAAGCTAAAGTTGATAAAATGAAAATTTTAACTTTTAATATTAATGTAAACATAAATTTGGGTGATATTTAGGGAAAGGACCGAATTTCGGGAGATTATTTGACAAATGGCCAAATTTTTGGACTGAAAAAAGTCATTTCGGTAAATCTCATATTTGGTGAATAAAATAAATTAGTAAATCTCATGTTTAAATTTAATGACTAAAATAAATGGTGAATCTTATATATTTACGGAGTGAATTCAATAATATTATATATATATATATATATATATATATATTAATGGATACCGCAAATGGTTGAAACTCAAAAAGAAAAACACGGCATTTTCTACAATCTCTGATTTATTTTCTCCAAAATCTTCATATAACATGCCAATTAATTAATATGATATATTCACTGAATCAACAATATTTTGAAGTCAAATTCAAGATACTTACGTGTACCAATCTCTAACTTGATTTTCTGTTGTCCTCATGTGCCGGTATTTCCTAAATATCAATACGCATCTTCGAAAAGAAACTAAGACATTCTCAATTATTATTCGAAGACAAAAAAAAAATGAGAAAAACATACAGGCCCTCTGATAGTGAACCATATATTGACGGATATGTTCGAATCAATGACCAGTAAAAGAAAAAGGGATATATAATCAAATAAATTAGTAAGTATATACAAAATAGCCCTCAAAACACGTAAATGGTGCCTTTTTTTTAGAATAACACGTAAATGCTAATTTGAGGATGATGGAGATTTTGATTTAAATGACGTTGTAACATAATATATACAAATTGCCATTTATTATTATTAGAATGATGACATGCATATTAATATATATATATATATATACACACACACTTTGGTACTGCAAATGGAATATATGTTTCCCTAAGAAAAAACAAGAAATATACTTGGACCAAGGAATGTTGAATTAGTCAAGATTATGTTACGTGGTCATCAAAGTGTAACAAGGAATACATTGCCGTGATAATATTATACATACATTTATATGTCATATATTAAATATAATTTCAATGCATATTCTTTCTTTCTTTTTCTGAAGGGACAATGCATATTTTGTAATGATGCCCTGGCACCACAATGGAATATTTTTGGACCAACTACCTGCGAAAATGACATAGCAATACTAGTTAATACTGCAATATGATTTTTTTTTTATTGCTTTCCCACCTAAATAATGCTCTCCTCATTTACTATCAAAGAATCTTAGAATTTTTCAAAGAGAGATTGCCCTAGCTAGGGCCATATTCTTTGAATTCAAGGCAAACAAAACTTACGAAATAATAATATGAGAAAAAAATTAAGATACGGAACGCCAAGACCATAAAGTGGCACAAGCTCTATAGATTTTATTTTTATTTTTATTTTTATTTTTTAAGGTTGCACAAAGCTCTATTGTTTTGAGGACAATGCCAACCGTGCGCAGGCACGAAATATTGGGCGGCTGCCAGACCAATTGAATTGATCTCTACCATGAAAATATGAATGTCAAATAATAGTAGTATTAAGCATGATCATATTAATTGGTGGTCGATTATTTTTATTTAATCATGGGTTTAAACTCCACATTTTATATTGGTGGAGTTAGATTTAAAATTACCGTTGTTAGACTAATTATATATATGTTTGCAATTACGGCGATCGATGTATTAGTAATAGTACTGCAGTAGAACAAAATTGGTAAAGGTCAACAAATATTAACTTATTCTAGGAGGTGATGATGATTAACAGTCTCTTAAGCAGTGAGAGATATACATGTAAAAATGCATGGTCCTTCTGTTGACATACAAATGTTCATTGAAAATAGGGATGACATTGGGGCGGGTGGAGGCCGAGGATGATTTCTCATCTTTGTTACCTTAAATTATCCCCATTTTCGCTTAAGGAGGAACGGGGTCAAAGTCAGAAATTTCCCATTAAATGGGCCTTCCCCATATCCGCGTCATTCCTCATCATATGAGATTGTGCATTTCAAAATTATAGCAACTTAAAATTTAAAAAGAAAGAGTAGAATTTCATTATAAATTTAGACCAAAATTAAAGGTTCCACGATAAAAATCAAATTCTTAACATATTACAAACTGAATCTAAAAGTAATAACTAATATATAAGTGACAAAAGTTTAAAAACATCAAAATATAAACATAAATTATCATTC